ATGTATTTTAATTTTGACAATACGGTGTGTAAAGTAAAGGTCTAAAAACTTGTATGCGAGATTTCAGTCAACACTCAACCTAACGTTAGACTGTATTTGTTTTTATGTATCAGCCACAGGCTGCAAAATGCTGACTGTTAATATTCTGTAGTATATTAATTTTTGTGTATACTGTTGAACACATACTTGGATGTACTTTGACTCAGTATAGTAGAAAGAGTAATACTTCAAAATTGATGACTGATTAGACTGTGGATTTTCATTTCATTTACTCGAAAAACAGATGTACATGTATAATATGTGAAATATATCTGTAATTAATGACACACAGAAAGTATTATAGGTTTTAAAATTATATCACATTCTAAAGAATGTTGTTATTCTTTTGCAGTTATGCATCTATGAAATGAAATAAAAGTCATCAATAGCTATGTATTTTTTATCTTCCCTCATTTGAAATTCCTTATCAAAAATCTCAATACGGACAAAAAATGTATAAATAAACGGTGGTGCTGAGAATAAATATTCTGGCAATGTTCTGTTTTTTTAATTTAATTTTAACAAATAGTCATAGATGAACATAATTTGAGAATTTGACTGAAAAAATCACAAGTCAGTCACAATAATTTTAATAGTGTTGTACTTTCAAGTTTTTGGGCTGGTCGAGGGTTGTATTTTGTTCAATTTAGTCCCCAAAAAACAAAGAAAATTAAAATAAGAATAAATTTTCACTGTAATTTGTTTAATTGGATATATTTCTTTGATTTTAAAAGGAAAAATCATTCATTAGCATCAAAATTAGTGTTTTTATGTTCAAATTATGTGAAACCTTTATTGGAATCTCATATCGTCAATTGACAAATGGGGGTACCTGTGTTTGAGCAACTCTCTCTCAGTAATAATATTGACAACCCCTTCTTTTTACCAATTCATCATACCTTAGTATGAACAATCTAAATATTTAAGAACAATTTTTTTGAAAAATCACAAGTAGGTCCAGTACTAGGGACCTACTGTAAGAAGCTAACTAACTTTTATTTGAAAAAGTTTGTACAATCAAGGATATTCAATCTTTTAAATTTTTATAAAAATTAACTACGATGATTCTCGCTTTTTCAAATATGCATATTAGTCTAGTAATATAGCACGCTAAATTCACAAAAATGAGCTAAACATAGTTTCACAGTTGATAAACTAGGTTTATCGACTGTAAACTACAGTTTACAAACCGTGAACTATAGTTAACAATTCGTAAACAACTATATTTATATAGTTTAACAATCTGTAAAACTATATTTAACGATTGTTAACTATAGTTTACGAATGTTTATCTAAGTTCATTCGTGTGTAATAAAGCGTTAATAATAGATTTTGTTGATAAACATAGATTCACGTTTATGAACTATAATTTTAGTTAAGAGTTGTTAATCATAGTTTCACAAATCGTGAAACTATATTTATCAGATCGTTAACTATAGTTAAGAGTTGTAAACCATAGTTTACAAATCGTGAAACTGTATTTATCAGATAATCTATGTTTTGCAATCGTAAGTATAGTTTACGGTTGTGAATATGGCATGCCAAATTCACAAAAATGAGCTAATCATAGTTTCACAATCGATAAACTGTGTTTATCGGTTGTAAACTATAGTTTACGGACTGTAAACTATAGTTAACAACGTTAATCTATACTTTACATCTGTAAACCATAGTTAACGCGATAATCTATGTTTCACAACCGTAAACAATACTTAACACCGAAAACAATCATTTGCGATTGCAAAACATAGATTATTTGATAAATACAGTTTCACGATTTGTAAACTATAGTTTACAAACCGTTAATTATAGTTAACGATCTGATAAATATAGTTTTGCGATTTGTGAAACTATGATTAACAACTCTTAACTATAGTTTACGATTGTAAACTATAGTTTACAAACGTGAATCTATGTTTATCAACAAAATCTATTGTTAACGCTTATTACAGACAGATAAACTTAGATTAGCATTCGTAAACTATAGTTAACAACCGTTAAATATAGTTTTACAGATGAAAACTATACTTAACGAATCGTTAACTATAGTTTATGGTTTGTAAACTATAGTTTACAGTCGATTAACCTAGTTTATCAATTGTGAAACTAGGTTTAGCTCATTTTTGTGAATTTGGCGTGCCATATGTGAAACATAGATTATCGCGTTAACTATGGTTTACAGATGTACAATATAGATTAACGTTGTTAACTACATGTATATTTTACAGTCCGTAAACTATAGTTGACAAACGATAAACATAGTTTATCGAGTGTGAAACTACTAGTATGTTTAGCTCATTTTTGTGAATTTGGCGTGTCATAAAGTAGAGCTTAATGAAATCATCAAATGCATCACTGCTTAACTTTATCATATTTCTATAACATTATATGAACTTTAAAAGCCAAATTTAAACATCGTTCATTTCTTAGGCACATTTGTATACACAACAACCTGCCCCACTTCCATGCTAATTTGGATACTTTTTGTGCCTATATCGTAGGAGAGTTCGATCTCGAAATTCGCGTAAGCCATTAGCCCCCCACACTCTCAATTTGCTTTCGAAGTCAATGTTGGTACTAACATTTTTACTTCTTGAACTTAGACATTGCCTCACTTTGGCAATTTTTTACAATAATTTGATATTGGGTATATAACTTTTGAACGATTAAAGCAAGATCTTTCGTACTTCACTTTGAAAAGACCTTAACTTGGGTTACTAATTTTGACCCCTTTGTTTTGACTTTTTTTAACTTTAACCATGGCCATTTGAACAGTAAGAGCTACGACTTTCGTTTTCAAATGTAAATTCCACGAATTAATGAAACCCCTTTTAGGTAACAACATTTTTATTTCTTGTCCTTGGAGTTTTACCTACTTATGAAAAACTCTAACCTTGGCTATGTAACTTAAAATAGTTGGTGCTAGGGTTTTAATGTATTATACATGTGTATTTCTTTAACAAATACTTTCCTTTTGTACCAACACTTTTGACAATTTAAGCTTGACCTTGAAGTTTTACCTACTTTTGAAAAACTTTAACCTTAACCATAACCTTAAAAGGGCTTTGAACGGTTCTTTTGGTACCAATTTGTCCGCTTTCTCGAAACGAGGGGACATTAAATCTCATTTGCATGTCCTTCTTACAGTTTTAGGTCAGTCCGTATGTCACAAAATCCTAAACTTTAGTCATAATTCTGAATGAGAAGAGACAGGGCTTTCATATTTCATTTGAATATTACCTGTACCAAAACCTTTCAAATATGCTATGGTTTTCGACCCCTCGATCTTGGCCATGAAGTTTGACCAACTTAAAATTAAAAAATTAACATTACTTTAATTTGCCTTGACTTGTACTCATCTAACATGTACATGTAGTACATCATTAATTTCTTTGTTTCTAGAGAGTCGAAATATCTTTAGGCGTTTTGCACTTTTTTTGCCCATTCTTGTCTCTTAGGATTATGGCAAGCCCTTTTACTATTTATTCGTGAAATAAAAATTTTCTCTCAATAAGAGAGATATCTCTCTAGCATAGAGAGATATCTCTTTAGCTTATAGAGATATCTCTTTGACTAAAAGAGATATAGAGAGATATCTCTTTAAACAAAAGAGATATCTCTTTATGTGAGAGAGATATCTCTTTTACTTAGAGAGATATCTTTATAAGCTAGAGAGATATCTCTTTAAGCGAGAGAGATATCTCTTAAAGTTAGAGAGATATCTCTTTAACAAGGTTAAAAGAGATATCTTTCTTAGTTAGAGAGATATCTCTTTAGATTTTCAAAAAGAGATATCTTTATAAGCTAAAGGATATCTCTTTCCAGTGATTATTAAAAAAATAGAATATAATTAATTCTCCACTTTAAAACGAAAGCGAAACAGGAAGTAAAGTCTCTGGAATAGTTTCTATGTTAAATAGAAAAAAGACTGAGTGCTCAATTAGCAATTACCCAGAATAATACATGTACTGTAGACTAAAAATGCTATAAAAATTCTTTTACTTGAAACAACAAATAATAATGGTAACTTCGTTGATAAAAATGCTAATATTCAGGAAAACGAAAGTAAGCATATATATAATCTCAAATGCAATGGACCGAATTTTCTCAGCTTATGAAATAATCAACTATTTCTAATCTGAGTATTTCCATCAATAAAAAGCTTACTTCCGGTAAAGGGAGAATTCATTTGAAATGGAATTTAAATAAAAAATATGAAGAGAGATATCTCTTTGCAACAAAGAGATATCTCTTTTTGCTTGAGAGATATCTCTTTTAGACACTTTTGAAAGATATCTCGTTCACTTCAAGAGATATCTCTTAAGATAAACTAAGAGAGATATCTCTTTTACTTAAAGAGATATCTCTTTAACTTGGAAAGATATCTCCAAAAGTTAAAGAGATATCTCTTTAGGTGAAAGAGATATCTCTTTAACGTTTAGAGATATCTCTTTTCACGAAAGAGATATCTCTAAAAGAGAAAAAGATATCTTTTCAAATGGAAGAGATATCTCTCTAATAAAAAGAGATATCTCTCTAAGTATAAGAGATATCTCTCTAAGTTTAAAAGATATCTCTTTGTCATAGAGATATCTCTTAAAAATGAGAGATATCTTTTTAAGTTGAGAGATATTTCTATTTTTAAGAGATATCTCTTTAAAATGAGAGATATCTCTGTAATTTTAAGATAAATTTTATTTTCTGAATAAATAGTAAAAGGGCTTGCCATATAGGATAGATAAAGTTTCATCGAGGTATCTTGTTTGCAGTGCTGTAATATGTAGCAGATTTCGAAGCAGCCATGAAATCGGAAACATATCCTAGTTGTACGTGTGTATTCTCTAAAATGATAAAAAGGTGGCGTTCTTTAAAAGGCTCTTGTACGACGTATGACAGTCAATAGAAGTTCATGATTGAATGAATAACAGGATATCGATTATTCCGTCGTATATCACGTGCTTATTTTAGTTCTCGAAGTTTCTTTATTCATTTCTCAATGATTGAAATTGTATGTTGTTTTGTTAAAGGTACTAAGTATATGTAAGTTATGTACTAAAGTACATACTGTACGGACTGTGTTTTTTTCTTCAGAGTTTGCCGTCACATGAATTTGACAGAAGTAAATAAAGATCGCTTCTCAGGTAAGAACGTGCTATCGTCTCGGTCTAGTGCTATTCATCTATTCTTTTGAATTGTCATAATATTTAAAACTATTCAAACTCGATTTTTTTAATATAAAAGTTAAGTTGTAGTTAAAAAATAAAAGAATTATTTGTGAACGGTAAGTATATGGTCTGTTCACACGGCTGAGAGGTACTTGAGGAGAGGAGCTCCTCTCCCCCAACCCCGCTATACCCCGGGACCTTTCTGGTTTTTCCCTGTTCTAGTGATTTATTAACCACAAGTTTGTGATCTAATTCAAACCAAAAATTCAAAAACATACCCAAAATGTTTTTTCTCTACACTAAATACACCCCTGTGCATAAAAATTAGAGGGGGTCCGCACGCATATGAGATTCTGAGTGCTAACGTGATAGTGAGATTTGAAGACGACTCCTTGTTCAAATCTAACACAATATATGACATACAAGTCATGCATGAAATATGAAACAATTAAAACAATAATTTTAGCATGATAGTGGAATAAACAGGGAACAAGGGTTTTCTTTCATTTATGTTCTCATAAAATATTTTGCACCTAAGAATTTTTAAAAAAGGTATTTTATTAATTTCAATTCTTAATTTTTAAAGCTTTAGTCATCAAAGATTCAAATTGTTTGTGTTGTAGACAAGTAAAATGCCTTTCCTGGAAAATCAGTCAATTGTGACCCCTGAAAGCAATGTCAGTGACCCATATAACCGTACATTTCCCCACATGACCCCAGAGGAAGAGGTCAGGAACTTTTACATTGGACTGTTTCTGGCCATCAGCTCCAGTGTGTTTACTGGGTCAAGTTTTATTTTTAAAAAGAGAGGACTTCTCAACTTTGCAAAACATCAAGGCACCAGAGCAGGTATATGTACTATCTGTAAATAAACCGAGTCATTTATTAAGTTGAGTTATGTTGCACAGGGATTTTGAGTGCATATGTAGTACTATGTGTAAATATGGTGTATGTAACTTTCAGGGCAAGGTGGTTATGGCTACCTGAAAGAGTGGTTTTGGTGGACCGGGATGATTCTAAGTAGGTCAAATAATATCTTCACACTATTCTCTTAAGAGAAGTGGACAGCTTTTTGCCTACATTCATAAATGTAACACATTTTATTACTATATATTCCTATCTTAATAAAACTCTAAGAATCTTTTATCAGTTACAAAATATAGCACTATAAATTTTATAAAAATGCCTTTGGTTTTCAGTGATACTAGGGGAATTTGTCAACTTTGCAGCCTATGCATTTGCAAATGCTACATTGGTAGCTCCATTGGGTGTTCTGAGTGTTTTAGTGAGGTGAGTTTGTTTTTAAAATTAAAACTGATTTCAGTAAATTAGAGATATTTTCATTCAGTGACCTAACTAATTGATGCAATGGTTCTGAGTTTGATTCCTAGTCCATTTTATTTTTCTCATTTTCTGTTATATTTGATCCCCCCCCCACTTTACTTTGAATGAAAATTCTTCCAGGGGGTTATAAATCTGGGTTGAGCGTTTTTGACAACATAGAAAATCTTTTACAAAAAATGGTGGTTTGGCCTGTATGGATTAAGAATATTGACCTGGGTAGCTCATTGGAAGGAGCAACTGACCAGTAATGCAGGGGCCCCTGGTTTAGGTCTAAGAACAGCCATGCATTTTCTGTTTTCCTGTCACACTTTCATCACTGCAAGGTTAATCATCAGCATCTTCATCCTCAAGATGAATGGACTACATTGTATTTAGATAGAAACAAGAAGCGTTTGTGAAACACTATGTGCCCGGCGGCAACAAAGTTTGAAAAAAGCTATTTTGACCTTGATGTCATGTGAAAAAAATTAATATAGTACATGTGTAATTAGTTGAGTATGCATTCCAAATATGAAGTCCCTATCTCTCTTTCAAAAAATATGGTTAAGATTCAAACAAGCTATTTTTAGCATGTAGATCACAGTCAAGGTTATTGATCTTGGTGTCATTTGGAAGAGCCTTATGATTGAAGTAAACATACCAAATATGAAGTCTCTATCTTTCATGGTTCAAAAGTTATGGCAAAGGTTAAAGTTTGAAAAAGGTATTTTTAGCATAAAGGTCACAGTCAATGTCACAAGTTCATTGATCTTGGAGTCAATTCAAAGAGCTTCATTAGTGGAGTATGCATACCAAATATGAAGTCTCTATCTTTCATGGTTCAAAAATTATTGAGAATGTTCAAGTTTGCAGACAAACAGACAGACAGGACAAAAACATTTACGACCCAGATCTATCGATCTGGGCGCAAAGAAAAACTATCTGCATATGATTTATATGATTTTTTAAAGAACGAAGTAGTTGCAAAAGAAGTTGCTTCAAGATTTTCTTCTTTTGCAGTGGAGTGTTATCCTCAAAATTTCTAAAGGAGAGGCTGAATTTGTTAGGAAAAGTAGGCTGCGGGATGTGCGTTGTGGGGTCAACAGTTATTGTTCTTCATTCCCCAAAGGAACAGGAGATTGCAAGCATGGATGAATTAATTGAGAAAATGAAAGATCCAGGTAAACAGCTGTACTATTGATTTACTCTGTAGGGCAATCTTGTATTCCGTATTGAACCTTCTGTTGAACCTTTTTGCATTGTTGAAGTTTGCATTATAACAAGCAAAGAAGTCTACAGTATACATGTATATGTACTGATTTGAAATTTTCAATATAACTTTCTCTACATATTTTCAGTATTTATAGTGATCGCTGCCTTGGTGTTGATTGTGACCATCCTCACCATTATCTTCCTATCCCCTCGCTATGGACAGAAAACAGTCATCATCTATATCATTATATGTTCTAACATGGGATCCTTTACAGTTCTAGGCTGCAAAGGGTTAGGAGTGGCTCTCAGGGAAACCTTCAAAGGCAGGAACGAGTTCACAAACTGGTTAACCTGGGTTCTACTGGTAGTGGTGGTAGTGTGTATATTATTCGAACTCAATTACCTCAACAGAGCCTTAGATACTTACAACACAGCAGTTGTGATTCCAGTTTACTATGTATTTTTCACATCCGTTGTTATCTTTATGTCTGCTATCCTGTATAAGGAATGGGGAAGCATGGATGGAATAGGAATTACAACAGAAATCTGTGGTTTCCTGACCATAATAGGTGGCATTTTCTTGTTACAAGCATTCAAGAGCATGGATGTTTCCCTGAGTAATCTCCCCAAGGCAAAGAAGGAAGATCTTAGAACTCCAGATGACGAGAATGGAGAAGTACCAGTGTTACACATCCAGTCAGACTCAGAGGATGGTCAGTCCTTGACAGATAACATCACACATTGAGGGCTAGGTACTTATAAAAATATAGGAATGTATTAAAATTAATTCATATTTTCCCACTACATATTTATTTGAACGATAAAAGAAAAAAATCATGTAAATTTTGAAAAGAAATCCAAACTGTATCATAATAATGTTTTTGATATAATTCCGTGTCATGAATGCAGGTTTTATCTGAAGATAATAACCATTTAGTCCATCAGTGAGGGATGTTTGAGTCCTCTGTCGAATCTAATTGCAAGGTGGGCATTAATACCTTTAAAATACCAGCGGTAATTAACATATTTTTGATCAACTTCAAATTGATGTCAGTTTTTATTTACAGAGTTCTACTTTTCAGTATTTGTAGGTTGTTTACAGCCTTGTCTCAGACAACAGTTTGTCTTAGTAACCCAAGAGCCAAGAATTTGACTACATGGAGAAAAGAATCACCTCAAAATACTGAAACCTATCTGTTCTGTGATACTGCCATGTAATAATTTAAGTAAAGTGTTTTTCAATAAGTATAAATATTTAATAAAATTTGAAACAAATATTTGAATGTGTTGTATTTTCTGCTGCTGCAATTTTTTTGCGTCCTCATTCCTGAAATTAGCCATTTAAGTTCTGCATTTTCAATTTCTGCGGTTGCATTATACAATGTACTGCCTTTTTACGGAATTAAGACCACCAAATTCAGAAGATTTGGTAGAACACTGCTAATAATGTAAGAATGTTGATCAAGGTTTATGAGAAGTGGTACAAAGCCCTTCCATACTCAAGTTAATCTTCTTAAACTATTTTAGAAATTATTTTACTTCAAGCTTCGCGATCAGTTGACTGCCATACGCACAACATCAAATTTGCACCACCTAATTCTAGACAGATTCTTAAACAAATTTGTTTATTTTATCCTCCTCTCAACCCTTTCTATTCGCCTCTCTAGGCGAAAAACTGGCTTGATTTGAATTGTCTGAGTTATTGAAGTAAATTCTAATTCAAGCGAGTTTATAGCTTGTAGATGCGACTATATTCTCTGATGGGCTCACCAACAGCTGTGACAAGAATGGAACTGAACTGTTGATCTTCATTTATTCTAAATTGATTTTGAGTCCTGTTCCTGCTAATGATTTTACAGGGTGAGTTGTTTTGTCCTGAACATTACTGACTGTGTTTGTCACCTAACCTATAGCTATTCTCTTCTTGCCCGCTGGCACATAAGGCCCCAATACACTGCCTCCACCTGCCTCTGTATTTGACTGCGGCCCTCGCTGACGTCCAGCTATTCCATCCCAGCTGTAGCCTTTCTTGCTCCGTGGTCCTCCTCCAAGTTGTTTTTGGCCGGCCTACTTTCCAATTTCCTTCTGGATGCCATGTCAATGCGGTGGTACATATCCAGGTGTTATCCATCCTCCGTACATGGCCAATCAAATCCAACTTCATAGGAGTTACTATCTCACTTGCTCTAGCCTCCTTTGTTCTATGATGGAGCTCTTCATTTGACATTTTCTCATGCCATCTTACTCTCAAGATCTTTGTAAGGCATCTAATCTGGAAGGTGTCTATTTTCCTTTTGTCTCTCTTCGCTGTTTTCCGTGTTTCACTTCCATACATGAGAACCGACAGGACCAAGCTGTTAAATAACCTTACTTTTGCTTTAATGGAAAATTTTGATGAGCTCCAGATATTTCTGGGCCTTCCAATTGGAGACGGCTTTTCCCAGTCTGTTGGTAATGTCCTCATGAGATCCCCCCCCCTTTGTTGTTATCACACGTTCAAGGTTAGTAAATGTTTCTACATCCTCAAGGTCTTGCCCATCAATCTCGACTGGCTCTTTTATGTCAGAGTTGAACCTCATCACTTTGGTTTTCTCGATGTTTACTCTGTGTTTATAGCTTGTCTAGCAGTTTTATTTAGTCTTTGTGTCTTTTGCTGGGCGTCCCGAAATTTTGAGGAAAATAGAGGAAGATCATCTGCGAAGACTAGATCTTGGAGTTTTGTTGTGAAATTCCACCCTATTCTTGTTGGTTCCGTTTCTGTAGTTCTTTTCATTACGAAGTCTATAAACAACAGAAATAGGAATCCAGACATTGTGCAACCCTGCCTCATTTCTGTTGTTATCTGGAACCAGTCTGTTTCTTCTCCATCTTTAGGACTGCACATTGGAATGATTCATATAGGATTTTCACCATTATGACCAGTTTGTCTGGGATGCCATAAAACTTCATGATAGACCAAAGGCTCTCTCTGCGAATGGAATCAAACGCCTTTTCAAAGTCATCATGATTTACAAACAATGTTGAGTTCCATTCGGTACATTGTTACGGAGTGTAAATAGTTGTTCTGTTGTACTTCTGAGGCCAGCTTGTTCCTCATGCAGCTGTTTTTCCACTCCATCTTGGATTCTTTGTATTACTTTTCTGGAGAATACACAGACACATGTGTTAGACCTCTATAATTATCACATATCGATCTATCACTTTTCTTTGGAATCTTCACAATCAGGCCTTTACTCCAAACCAATGGTATGGTTTCTTGTTTCCAGATTGTTGAAACTAGACTTTTCCAAATATTTCGCTGTTGTCTCTGTGTCTGCTTTTAACATCTCAGCTGTTATCCCATCTACTCCTCCAGCTTTTCCATTCTTTAGTTTCTTTATAGCCTTGACGATTTCCTCTTTCCGTATGGGCCCGCGTGGGGCAATGGTCAGTGCGTCCGCTCTAGTGTCACGAAGTAAGGAGTTGATCCTTACGTCACGGGTTCGAATCCCACTGTGAGACGTGGGGACCGGTCCTTCGGATGAGTTCGTATAAACCGAGGTCCCGTGTCACAGTAGATTCTGGCACTAAAAAAACCTCTCATTACTCAGTGGCCCTGATTGCCGAGTAAAGGACAAAATTTGCAGTTCTCCATCGGCAAGTGGTGGCGTCTACATATGAGCACTGAAAGAAAAACCTAGTGAATTTAACTAGTGTTGGTCATGATTAGTAAACTTTCATTTCACTGGTTAAGATAGTGAGTTGTGGAGCGGGGGTCGTATAGATACTTAGATACCTAGTGAAAGTTACTTATATCAATTTTAAATTTACTAATCTTATCTAGTAAATAATAAAATAAAACAGTACCAATATCTGGTAAAACTACTTTTAAGGTAGTGATTGTATGGACAGTAAATTTACTAGTTTTCTTCGTGACTTTAACTAGTTATTTTTTTACAGTGAGTGAAAAATTCTCGAGAGGGACGTTAAACAATATACAATCAATCAATCTTTCCGTATGGGATTTGTATCTATCTCATCTACTACTTGTTCTTCGCTTTCAACTTCTAATAGATGTTCGGGTTGTGGCTTTATGTCATTTTGTTAATAAGCATTCTGATTGTACACACAAGTACTCTGAAGTCGACATCAAAAAGATGCTTGAGTTTCTAATTGACAATATCATTGTTGTTTTTGGAGACCAGGTCTTCCAACAATCTTTTGGAATTCCTATGGGTACCAATTGCGCCCCGTTATTAGCAGACCTATTTTTGTATTCATATGAAGCAGAATTTGTGCAAAATCATATGCGTGAAAAGAAGAAAACGCTTGCTGTGGCCTTCATCTCGACATTTAGATATATCGACGACGTACTGTCAATTAACAATGGTAATTTCCATTCTTATGTCGATACGATATATATCCTGGTGAGTTTGAGACAAAAGATACCACAGAGTCTGACACATCTGTTTCATATTTAGATATTTTACTTGAAAAAGACGTTAATGGTAATCTAACAACCAAGCTCTGTGATAAACGTGATGACTTAAACTTTTCTATCGTCAACTTCCCTTACTTATGCAGCAATTATTATACCTTCATCGCCTGCATACGGAGTTTACATATCTCAGTTGATAAGAAACGCAAGAGGATGTTCTACGTATAAACAATTTCTACAACGAGGTAAATTATTGACAAACAAGTTGATGAAACAAGAGTTTCAGAGGGCTTGTTAAAAGTCATCATTTTGTAAGTTCTATGTTCGATACAATGACCTTGTCAGCAAATACAATTTATCATTGAGTCATATGCTGACTGACGTTTTTCGTACTTATTGTTAATCCATTATACATACACTGAATTGACGACGGATTTTTCCGTTATTTCCCGATCATGACAAGGAGCACACGGCGAGTGTAACCGGTCGGCAGGGGATGCTTACTCCTCCATGGCACCTGATCCCACCTCTGATGTTTTGAAGGTCCGTGTTTGCTCTGCTCCTATTTTGTATTGTTTTGTGGATTTTTGATCTGGAATACTGTTCGTTATCTCCATATGTTTCATCCAGGAGATCTTGTATATGTCTTGGTTTACAAGGAAATTATTCCTGTGATGAATAAGTTGTTGATCTCGCAGATATCCAATAGCCGTTCTTCATTTCCATTTCGTTCTCCTATTCCGTGTTTCCCCATGGCACTTTCATGGCCTTTGTTGTTGTTACCAGCCTTTGCATTGAAATCTCTTATGCTAATGAGCAGTATGGCATGTTTTGGAATGTTATTAATAACTTTCTGCAATTGTTCCATGAATGCTTCTTTTATCTCTTCAGGGCTCTTATTTGCTGCTGAGTAAACCACTATCAGGTTTATCTTTAGAGCTGATGTGTAGAATCTTGCATACATCAATCTCTTATTTATGGGTTTCCATTCCATCAGTGACTTCTTAGCTTTCTTTTCATCATTATTCCTACTCCTTCTTGATGTAATCCATCCTCTCGTCCTAAGTAAAGCACTAGTTTCCCACTTTGTAATGTAGTTTTTCCATTCATAGCCCATCTGACTTCGCTTAATCCTATTAGATCCAGCCGGTATCTATCCTTTTCCTGTTCCATCTGGGCTGTTTTCCCTGTAATATACATGGATCTCACATTCCAGCTCCCTATATATATGTTGTTTGGTGTGTGCATAGGGACTTCGGCCTGTGGACTTCCAAATGGCTTTCATCCACCTGCGTCATGTTGTCCTCAGCATAATCATTTAACACAGAGGGCTAACATCCCCCTGTGTGCTCAGTGTATTTTGGGTTTCCGTAATCATGAGGATTTTACTCTGCGTGGTGATTAGCCATGCAGAAACCCCCTGGACCCCCTGGACCCCCTGCACTCGGGAGGCCAGTAGTTTTCTGTTGGGGGTTTCCTTCCCTTAGCCACATTTTCCAGTCATAAAGGCGCCGGAGTCTCGCCTTTCAGCACTGTCACTCATCTACCAAAGTATTACCAGGGATACCAAACGTGGAGGTGTGACATGTGATTCGCTGCCAGAACCTGTTTGAGACGGTTGGCATTACTCGAGGTTTTGTAAGCTGAGACCGAGTAGGTTTGACACAAAGACCTAGTGGCGTTGGACACACCCCTCGAGCCCGAACCAGCATTTGACTGTGTTTGTGCAAACGATTGACTAATTGATTGTATATTGTTTAAAGTCCCTCTCGAGAATTTTTCACTCATATGGAGACGCCCCTTCGTGCCGGTGGAGAGCTGCAAATTTTGTCCTATACTGCACTCAGGGCCATTGAGCAGGGAGGGATCTTTTTCGTGCCATCACCTACTGCGACACGGGACCTCGGTTTATACGGTCTCATTCGATGGACCGGTCTCTACGTCCCATTGTGGGATTCGAACCCGCGACGTAAGGATCAACTCCTTACTTCGCAACTCTAGAGCAGACGCTCTAATCGCTGCGCCACGCGGGCGACTTGTGACAAAGAATATTCAGGTATAATTCGATAAAGTCGAGATTCTTACTCTAGAGCAGACGCTCTAATCGCTGCGCCACGCGGGCGACTTGTGACAAAGAATATTCAGGTATAATTCGATAAAGTCGGGATTCTTTAACTACATCAGGAGTGTCTACTGTATACCATTATTTCTGCCTTATGTGGTAGTCCCTATGATCCAGTCTAACCAAGAGGAAGAGATGACAGCAAATTAACATCCTTGTCGAACTCCTGTCTTGACCTCATAACTCTTGACCTCTCACCTCAACATTGGCAACACCTTGAGGCCTGTTCAGCAGAGCGAACGTTCGCGAGCGCTCGCCAAAATTAATATTGGAGGTATAGGAAATTTGGCGAGCGCTTGCGAACGTTCGCTCTGCTGAACAGGCCTCTGCTTTCATGCCAAGATAGATGTTACGAATCAGGGAGACGAGCTTCTCGTGTATTCCATAGTGCCTCAGTATCAGTCAACGCCATCAAATGCTTTCTCGTAAATCGAGAAACTTCCAAGTTGAAACGGGGAGGGGGGTTCCACGTCATTTATTGTTCAATGACGGTGTGCAAACTGGCTATCTGTTCAGCATATGATATGTAGCGACTAAAAACAGCCTGTTGGTTACAGAGCTTTGGGTCCACTGCTTCTTTTGTCCATTTCTTTGGAATGTTCTCTTCCTTCCATATTTTCTTAAAGAGGTGTGTGCAAGATGTTAACAGCTGTCTCTGTATCAGCTTTGATGGCTTCCACTGGTTTCTAGTCAGCCACTGTCGCTTTTCCGTTTTTTCAGTGGGGTAATATTTCTCCTAATGTCTTTGTTGGCTTGTTGCAGTCGAGTGAAACATCTGGTTGTTTGTCTGGTGGTGTTTCTGGTGTTGATCTCCTTGATAATTCTCCAAAGTGTTCTATCCATCTCTTTAATTGTTCTTCTGTTGTTGTTAGAGGGTTCTTGTTCTTCAATAGCTTGTCTTTTTCCTGGAACTTGTTGGAAAGCTTCTTGTGACCATGCATACTACTAGTATACAATACTAGTACTCTAAAATTTCTTCAGCTTGTTTGACCAGGTTGTGAATGTGATCCTGTTTATATTTTTTCTTCTTCTTTATCTGCGGCTTTGGAGATCTCTTGAGATTTGCATTTTCTGTTCTTATCTGGATTTAGTTTAGTGCCATTATCCATTCCTTCCTCACATCCATTTTCCTCACTGTATCAACAGAGATCCACTCTTTGTGTTGAAATTCTCTTTCTTCCACTCTTTCTTCTGTCGAGGACTTCTTCACATGTATCTCGCCACATGCATTTCTTTGATGTGTTGCTTTTGGGTCTCGGTGATGTTGGTTTGTACATGTAGCATTGTTTTCTGGCTGGTCTTGTAGCGGCTAGTATTTGTTGAACATGCTAACGCAGAAAGCTGTCATGTGTCGGGTTTAGTTGTCAGAGACTATAAGAGGCGCATTATTTGAGGAACATTTAAAATGGACAATGGGGGCTTATCCCCATAGCAACCCCTCGGCTATGAAACCTTTGGAACTTTTGCTATGGTTAACAAAATAGAAACTTTATTCAGAACTACGAGAACTATTTCCTCTTTAAATTTTTTTCTAATCTAGATTGAAATTAGAATTATTTTATATTATGAGGCGCTGTTTTGGTATTTAATGGCAAAAACCTATTCGAATAGGTGACATTATTATTTTATTACTTTATTTTTCGGTGTTCCACACTACTAATAATGTAATGTTATAATAATGCAAAGAAGAGTGGAAAACGTAGTGGGATATAACGTCAGGATAAGTTATTCTTGGTATATGCTCGTATCTGAAAAATATTTCAGTATTGCAATTTTTAGAATTTGTCAATTTTCATTTTGCGACCAATACTGTATTTCCAAAAAAATGGAGCCAAATATTTGTTTTTGGAATATGATATAGAAAGGACCAATATATTATTATGACACATCTGCTTCGTATATTTAGATATTATATTAGAAAAAGACATAAATGGTTTTCTAACGACAAATCTTTCTGAATTAATTGTAATGACTAATCTTTTCAATCTTCAACTACCCTCACTTATGCAGTGCACATACCCTTATCAACTGCATATGGGGTTTTAATCTCTCAAATGATTCGAAACGCAAGAGCATAACTATGGACAATTTCTAAAACTGGGTAAGTTATTGACAAACAAGTTGATGAAACAATAACATCAACTTACAGTCTCGTTTAAAGTCATTGTTTCGTATTGTCCATAGTTGATACAATGACCTAAGTGTCAGATAATACAATCTATCATTAGGTCAAATAATCACTGATGTCTTTTTTATACTCGTTGTTGGAGCTTTTTCGGCGGATTTTCCATTAATTCCCGTTCATGACAAGGAGGACACGGCGGGTGTGGCCGATCGGCAGGGAGGATCATCCCTCCGTGCATGGCACCTGATCCCATCGCCTGATGTTTTAGAGGTCATTGTTAGCCAATCGATTGCTCACATCATGAAATCGAAAAATTAGACAGTTATTCCTTAATTAATGTACTTTATAAAATTGTATATAGACAAATAAATCTAACTTTACGAAGTTATCCTTTTCTTATTTCGGAATTTGTCGTATTTGGTCTTGCTAATAGAGACAGTTAAAAACAGGAAGTACACCTGTTGGCTCTCACACTGCACTGGAAGGAAAACAATACCCCAAGCACAATCGATATTTCTGCCAATATTCATCAATTATATATACAATTTGATATACAAGATATGGCTTTAAAACCCAGGACATGGTAAGATGATTGAAGCACATATTCTCATACACAAATACTTGAACAATGTGTTCATAAGCCATGTCTAGGATGTTGGTGTACCGGTAGAATTGAGATAATTATATAACTTCCCCCTACCGATCACATTTCGTATATCCTATGAGAATAAAAGACAACTTTCATGATAATCTCGCTTCCACGTGTCAGATCTATTTTTAGATACTGTCACATCGAGCATGGCGGAATGTTTATATTCAGGTTGATCTCTGGCCTAGGGAATTGCTCAATATTTAAATCTGGAATCTATATAGGGGTATTTTAAAATCTCTGTATGGGGCTTTCGGTGCATGTTGACACATGTTTTGTCATTGACATTGAGTGAAATCATTGATCATTGTATTTGATGAGTTTTGGTGTTCTAAGGTGGATTTACAAAAGGAGATAGAAATTTTCTTCTGTTTTAACAAGGTGAGGTAACTGTTGTGTGGTATTTTCACTGGAGTAGATAATGTTCTGCACGCATAGCATAGTAACCAAGTAACAAGACAAACATTCGGCTTTTAATGTGATTAAAAACAAAGGTGCTTCAGGAATACCAAAGTAGTGAGCCAGAAAGTTATCAATGGATGAAAACTATAAAACTTGAGAAAGTTACACAGGTTTACATTGATACTATCAGTCAGTATTACAAATTCAGAAGTCTACAAGCTTAAAATTAATTTTCCCTCTATACTTGTCAGTGTATAATATGCTTAAATGAAACATTTACCTAGTACATGTAGTCATGTCCTAAATTACATACCCAGTACCAATAACTAGAGTTAAAAGGTAGACTGGAAATAAGTACAATGCAGAAATTGCATATCTGAGTTTGTAAATTTTTTTGAAAGGTTAAAGTCCTCTTTTTCAAAAACTGTAATACTGTTACAACAATATATATCTAGTCTATGCTGTGCAATTTAATCTACTTGTTTAAATGGATAGAGGTTCCTAATTGTTGTTTTGTTTTATAGAGTTGAAAATTTTGGTTTAGTTGAAAAATTTGTGAGTGTTTTCTTGTAGAAACCAATTCAAGTTCTCTCAGGAGTCGTACCGATTTTGGTACTTTTGTTTTTGCTGTATTGGTACATAATGTTCAACGACACTGGACAGTCCTTTTCCAGTGTTTTATCTACAACACTATCTAGCACCCCAAAGGTAAGGCTCGGGCACCCATTTCCTGCATGGCTGCTGATTTTGGATGTTGGTCACATAATCTTTTTTTCTTAGCTAGACCCTTTTTTCTTTGTGGTTCCTGTTTGTTTTAATTCTTCACTTTCAAGATGAAACCTGTGAACATAACTGTTTTCTGTAATGCACTGGTACATGTAGATTACTGTCATTAACACTTCTATTCAGTATATTGGTTTATTTTCATTATATGGACATATATTTACTGAAAACCACTCCTTCCTATATATTTTCTGAAAATGATCCATATCTGATTATATTATCATAATAAATTATATGTAATCTTTAATTCTTATACACTTAATTTCTTGTCTATTTATTACATTATGTACATGTTTTGTGTGTTTAGAAATTTATTTATTGATTTGGAACAAATTTAAATGTCCTTTGAAAATATATATTACATATAAATTACTATAGACTTTTGATATTAAAGAAATTTTCCTTATTAATAATTATAGATATATATGAAAAAAAATTGAAAATAACTTGTTACTAGTACCAGGGTAATTTAAACACATATCGGTAATACATGTACATGCAGACAGTTGTACTCTATCTCCAAACGATTACAATATGATATGAAGGAAAGATCGAGAAATCTCAGAGAAATGAAACACTCTTGCATGGTGAAGTTACAAGTTATTGACAGGAAAATGTGGATGTAGTCAATGATCGTGATGAAAAAATAGCCTACCTTTGATTTGTTATTGATTTTTATTAAGGCTTACTGAAACTGATGATTTACACATTGTTAGAATTAGGAGATAGCACCCGCAGAAAATGTATGTTTTCCAGCTGTCTCTTGTCCTGTGACATTTTACATGTATTTCAATTGATAAAATGGCTTTCACTGGGGCTATGTTAGATTCAAATTTCACTTACTTTTTTCACCCATATTTTTTTTATGGCATTGGTTCAGTATACTTTTTAAATTCACCAGTTACTTCCATTATTATTTCTTTGAATTAGTGAATGCAATTTTTAAAAATATGCATGTATGTGATACTGTCACCCTTAGAAATAACTAGGACAGCGGTACACATGATCATGTTGCAACATTTGTTGGGGGTATACAATGATCTGTATTCAACTATAGTAGACAGAAAATCAGGAAAAGAAAATATTTAAATTTGGGTTCAGCCTAGATTAAAAGCTTTATGAAATGGACTTTTGTGCTCCACTGAAATTAATTTTCTGTGTGATTTTGTGTCAAGTCATGTATAATGCAGTCTTTCAGCATTATTAAAATGTGTATTGAAGTGCAATGTCTTGATATAAATTATGGGTGACTTGTGATACAAATTATGTTAGAGCACTAGCTAATTTTTAAAATCATCGATGTTTCTCTAAAATTCATAGCAAGCTCATTGTAATATCCATTGTCATTTCATGAGTTCCTTAACATTCCTTTATCTTGTGTAGTCAAGCGGATATTTTTGAAGTATTTCAAGAAAATTTTAAGAAAACACTGCATTCCCTTTGTACCTGCAATTTTTTTTTGTTTATTCGTGACCATTGAAGACAGATCTACTCAAATGCTCTTTAACCAACTGTAATGAAACCAACATAAAAAATATCAGGGGAAAATTGATTAATGTACTCAGAACCCTTATATTTACATTCTAAACATTACGTATTTGTTGAAGTTTTAAATGATTTGCCTTCATGGGTGACCGCAGTTGGGTTAAATTAAATGTTGAAATCCTGCTTCTTTTATCTTCTAAAGTCACATACACATGGAAAGATATTAGGATACTGGTTTCAACCATTTCAAATTTCATTGCAGCCTTCCGGCATGCCTGCCGTAGGAAACACTACAGTGGAAGTAGCTGTAGACAATACAACTAACATCACTGATCTGTCCAATCAGACGATGCCCTACACGACCCCAGAGGAAGAGGTCAGGAACTTTTACATTGGTCTGTTCCTGGCCATCAGCTCTAGTGTGTTTATTGGGACCAGTTTTATTTTCAAGAAGAGGGGACTGCTTAAACTTGCAAAATACCAGGCAACTCGAGCAGGTAGGGAAAAAACTCTGAGGAGACTCTAAGTTAAGAATATTGATACATTGTAATTAGAGATAAGGAGCCCATTGTGTTTAGGCATTTAAAGTAATTTAGATTTAGATCTAAAGAGTATTGACAAACTTTGTAGACTGTGATACTGAACTGATATCTATCAATACTATTCTGTCTACATCAGAAATTTTATTGAGCCTGTGTGAGCTTTGGTTCATTTACACACGTAATACCAGCATATTTTTTCAGACTTTTCTGATTGGTTAATCAGGTTGGGATGTTCCTAGTACCACCAATCATGTTGACCTTAGCTTTGACCTTTGACCTTGAAGTTGATTTATGCCATGCACTTTGAGTACACCTTGACACAGTCATAATGTAAATTAATTCCACATGGAAAATGCATATCTATAGTATTGAAACAAGGTTAGGTTTAAGTAGGCTACTCACTCAACTTATTCCTGATATTCTTCATGTGGATGCTTGAGCTGTTCATAATCTAAAGAATTAACTTCAATTTTAAATAATATTGTACATTCTATGGCCTGCTTTGGTTTTCTAAAACTAATGTTTTATTTATTTGTCTGCAGGAGAGGGTGGCTATGGATACCTGAAAGAATGGTTATGGTGGGCTGGAATGATTCTCAGTAAGTGCTTTTATGTGTATTAGATACACATTGTGGTGAGTTTATAAATGTGTCAATAAATACTGATATTTCCTGAAGATATAATGTAAGTTAACTTTTCCCCAATAAATATTATCATAAATATCCACTGTAAATGTTATACATGGCATTTTGATCAATATATATAGTGATAATTTACCCAGGTGATTCCTTTATGGACAGCCTTTTTAACTGTCAGCTACTGAGATTTAGATCTACGGTAGCAAATATATAAACCAGTATAAAGGTTTAAGGAAGTTCCATACTCAGGTTCGGAAAATTGGGAGTTGAGTACTTGAAAATGCTCAAAAATATATCCCTGATTCTCAAAGTAATGTGAAAATTAACCCCTGATATTCAAGTTTTTCATCATTATTGTTCATATTATGTATTTATAGGAAAATTACCAAATTTTAAACATGTTTTCAGGAAATGCTAATAAATGCATGTGCTATGCATTTTCCATTTGAAAATTGATCAAGAAATATATTTGAGGACAAAAAACTATAGGTATCCAAGCATTTGGAAAAAATTGGCAATTTCTGTTAAATACTTTTATGCTCAGTTGCGACTTCAGTTCTATTTACTTCATTTAAGCTTTTATAATACGAAGCATAAAAGGCTTGACATTACACATTATTTTAATTTTATATCATACTAATAAATGTAAGTTAAGGACAGATGATAAAGACAAACTTTTATCAAAAATCTTGAAAAAAAAAGTCATGTTGATATAAGTATAATGAATAGGTTTCACCACCAAGATTTTATTTTTTTTTTTTTTTCATTCAAAATTTCACAAGAAGTGGATTGAAATTGACAAAAATCTGTATAGATTTATAAGGATGATGGCAAAAAAAGTAGAATTTTGAACATTTAATATGAGACATCTGTCCTTATTAATGTACCTGGTAATATACTAATGTCAACTTTTTACAAGACCATTTCTAAGACTTCAGAAAATTTTGATTTACAGTGAGATGCATGAAATGAAAATTGTTGCATGAAATAAATTTGATTTCAAGCTTATTTTGAGCTTTTTTTAATTTAATTATAACTTTAAGAATTATATTGTTCCTAGCTTAGTGCAGATATCCTTAATTAAGGTAGTACTAAAATGTACACGGAATTAAAAAAAATACTTAAAAATAAGAACCAGTATCTCCTGTAATTGATTTATCTTTGGAATAATGTTGTATTATATTTAAATATAACAGAATAGAGGATTGACTTAATGTTATGAGGGTTTCTAAGAATAAAAAAAATCTTTATACTTGCATGAATTGACAATATGCTGCTACTGTCAGTAATAATGTATACCTTTTCACTTCACATAAAAGACATCTTAAAATCATGTACATTGAAAATTATTTGAAAGGTTATATTTCTATGCTATTACAAACAGGCAATGAATATTAAAACTATTATATGTATCCATTGAGCTGAATTATTAGCAGCAACATTGACCTACTAGTAACCTAGAAATCTATAAACACAATTAATTTAACTCTATTTCTCTTTAGATCTAGGTCAATATTAATATCACTGAGATGAACAGTTCACTTTTACCATTTAACTAGTAAAAAAGATACTTTTATAATGATATTCAATGTGATGGATATATGTTTCAAAAATCTCACTTTCATCCAAGACACAGCAATGTATTGGACAAAAGCAAAGATAAGAAGTTAAGAGTTAAATATAGCCATGCAGACACAATCTCTAGTTTATTTTCAGAAGAAAAACAAATTCATGGTACTTATCTGCACTCTGTCTTACTGTACAAATAGCTGATTTCAATGTTTTCTTTTCCCAGTGATACTTGGAGAATTTGCTAACTTTGCAGCCTATGCCTTTGCACCAGCAACCATGGTTACACCTTTAGGGGCTTTGAGTGTTCTTGTGAGGTTTGTAGATTTTGAATATTTACCTCTTCATTATTGAAGTCATGATTTAGTTATGGGTATCACAGTAGTTTATCATTTGATTTTCTTTCAGTGCCGTCTTGTCCTCCAAATTTCTGAAGGAGAAGCTGAACTTGCTGGGTAAGATAGGCTGTGGACTGTGTATTATAGGATCAACTGTTATGGTTCTACACTCCCCCAAAGAACAGGAAGTAGAGAGTATGGAGGATCTAGTCGAGAAAATCAAAGATCCAGGTACTTTGTTTTACTGACAGAATTATACAATAGAAATCAAATATTAATTAGTTTATAAAACCTGTTTCATATTAGAAACTGGAAATTAGTGTTTTTTAAGTCATATTTCTGCTACATTAGCAAAATGTAGTTACCGGTACTAAATTTTTTACTTCGTATAGCAGTTTTAGATATTAACTAAAACTTATGAAAAAAATATTAGAAAGGAAATATGAGAGGTTGCCAAGCTTGTAGAATTGAGTGAGAATTATCTTCATACTCTGGGAATATTAGAAACTCAAGTACATGTAGTATAATACTTATTGCTTCTGTTTCAGTATTTATTGTGATGGCTATTGTGCTGTTGACGATAGCTGTTCTCACCATCATCTTCTTGGCTCCACGCTACGGACAGAAAACTGTCATAGTCTACATCACTATATGTTCCTCTCTTGGTGCGTTTACCGTCATGGGCTGCAAAGGTGTAGGTGTTGCCATCAAAGAAACCTTCAAAGGCAGGAACGAGTTCACAAACTGGTTAACCTGGGTTCTACTGGTAGTGGTGGTAGTGTGTATATTATTCCAGCTCAATTATCTCAACAGAGCCTTAGACACTTACAACACAGCTGTTGTGACTCCTATTTATTACGTTTTCTTCACGTCCTTTGTTATATTTATGTCTGTGATATTATACAAGGAGTGGGGGAACATGAGTGGAGTGGACATAGCGGGGGATTTATGTGGTTTCTTGACCATAGTGGTGGGTATTTTCTTGTTGCAAGCCTTTAAAGACATGAACATTTCCCTGGCAAATCTTCCTAAAGCCAGGAAGGAGGACAGCTTACACAACGGGGAGGTGTTAGTAGAACGGTACCATGACGATGACGATGAACAGCATCTCCTTGACAATGACAGCGAGGAACCCTCACTACAGATTCAGACTGACTACGACGATCCTCAGTCTTTTTCTGAAGAATTCAGGCCTTAATTCATTGTCTTCAAAAACTTACCACATTCCAGCATAATATGACATTTAACCAGAGTCAGGAGTATCAGGATGGATAGTCTTTCTCAGAATTATTCAGGCACTAAATACATTTTTGTCTCTCTGTTTTATTTTTTGTAGCATGCCATGACTGTTGTCCATATTTTGAGAGATGATCATGATATATAGTCTATTTATTGTTGTCAAATGTTTGTCATGGATCTAACTAAATGCAGTTTTCATCCATAAAGAGATTTATTTTTTAAATCATTTGTTCCATGATGAATGAATCATTATTACCTTTACTTAAATACAGGTCTTTATAAGTGTCATTATGTGAGAATGGTAGCTTTATCATATATATATTTATAAACATATAAAAGAAGAAGTTATATATTTTGTACAGAGAATTTTTTTTTATGATAATAGTCTTATGAGATATAAATTGCTTTTAAAATAAATTTTTATAACTAATGTATATATTATTGCCTTTGATCAGACAGACATGGGATTTTTTTCAAACCTTTGTTTAGTATAAAGTTTTTATTCCAAATGTTGTACATTCTGGAATCTTGCTTATTATGATGTAAACCTCCCATTCTTTGAATGTTGTCTATTCCAAAATGTTGCTTAATTCACCCCAGTGTTGAGCAGATTAGATAAGTTATATTGTAATGGAGTGATACTTTGCACAAACCTTCTTCATCGTGAAAGGGTTTTCATGGCCCCGAACCAAGTGTTGTGCCCATTTCAAGTTTAAAGATTCATTTGTATTCTTTTAAAGGAGCATGCAAGCAAACTGCAGTGCATGTATTTGTTCAGAGAAAATTCATTTTCTATACACAATTATTTTTTTTTTAGAAATTTTTTTTTTTTCATTTGACTAAATGGTGTAATCTATGTTCAAAAATGATTATATTCACATTGTTTGAATTATACTTGTAAATATCATAGTATCATTTATGTTACCGGTACTTTCATTTTGATTAAAGAATCATATTTAAGGGTATTGAATTGCTCTAGAACCACCATATCAAATGAAATATTTTTTCTTCTTTGTACTTTGAGAATTGGTGTGTGCCACATCGTTTTAAACTAGAAAAGTTGATTTTTATCAGAAGAAAATTATTGTACAGTTATTTATATGTACAAACTATGTCTCAGACATATCTGTTGCCAAATTGACGAATGCATGTAGATAATCAATGTAGTTTTATATAGTTCTTTTTACACTGTTAAATATGATAGATGTATAATTAAATCATGAACACTTTTTTTATTGTGTCATTAAAGAAAACATTGCATGTTGAACTACATTTTAATTTACCTTTTTTATAATATAACTGTTACAATACATTTGCATAACAATGTATGTTACAAGAATGTTTCATTCAAACCTCATCTTCATGAGCTAAGGTCTAGCTCTCGTTCAGGAAATGAGTCAACTCTTCAACACAACATGTTAAGTTTAAATGTTGAGTGCATGTACACATTTAGCCTTTAGTCAAGATGGATAAAAAAAAAATACATGTACTTAACAAACATTGAAAAGTATTTATTGACATTTATTGATTATACCTAGGAGATGATCTCCAAATTGATATTATATACAATGTATTAAGATTTAATACCTTCATATCTGTTCATACTAAGTGGATCAGGACATAAAAAAACTGGTTTGAGATTAGAATGTATTATATCAATGTTGAAGAGGTTTGTCTTCCATCACAAGTATAAGATTTTGTACAGAAAGTAGCACTTACATGGCTATGGTAAACATAGACAAATCTGATTTTAAACTGGAATTATTGAGACCAGAGGAACTTAACACTGGGAGCTTATTCACCAATTTTCCTTAGGCAGTGTAGATTCTAAATTGTTCAGATCATGGTCAGTTGGCCATTGGGGTGAGGTAGGGCCACAATAGGAATTAAGGGAGAAGTCTTTTATAACTCCTCTTCTCAAGAACAGTAAATCTGCATTTGTGATGAACCATATATATTATTGTGGAAACATCCTCTTGTAGTGTAGCTTCATATCTGATGCAGAAAATTAGGGACAAAAGGATTCAAGTGATCATTGTGGTCCAAAGGCTTTTGTTGAAATTTGTTACCTTGGTGAAATACTGTAAACCAACTTTTATTTGTGTGCGAGAAATTTTCACAAGGTTTGTGAAAGCCTTCGTTGTCATCACGAATATTTTTCGCCATGAACTGGTCCTGAAAGTCTCTGTATCTATTAACAACAGATAAAAAAAAAGGCTTCATAGCGAAAATTAATTGTCGCTACCTAGTCAAAGATTTTGAAATAGAGTCAAAGGTTTGATTATTTTTGAAACTGTTAATCCCACAAGAGGTTTTTCTGCATTGCATCTAGAGAAAATCTAGGACTCTCCCAGTAACATGCTAAAGCAGTATAAAAAGACACTTCAGATATCAATTGAAGAATTCCCAATTTACTGTGATAATGCATTCTAGTCAATTGTGGAAGATTTGGTATTTTTGAGATATTTTTGACAATGAATAACGTTCCATATTTTCTTACTGTGTATGTGATAAGGTTTACCCCGGTATGTTTGTGTAAAATTGTGATAACATGTAGAATTTAACTAATGTATTAATGTCAAGGACTAAATGGGTACTGTGAGTACTTGTAATTACTAATTAACATGTGCAAATAAAAGTAGATAGTTGTTCATAGTGACATTTAGACTGGCTGTTTCCTTAATGTATTAACCTATATCTGAGAGTTTATTTTCACGTGAGAAGCTTATATATATCTTGGCTTCTCTGCATTGACCTTCAAAAATACCTAAGTCAAAAGTTCAACTGGGCACTAGTTGTCAAAGTTAAGGTTCAGGAATAATCTGGTTTGTCCATTTCAAAGTCTATTGCCTTAACTTTGCAATGCAAAAAATTAGAAAAGTTATTAACTTACACCGTAACACTAAGGTTACCTTTGTTCAAAGAAATTGTGGCTAAATCAGGGGCTAAATCACTTTTTTTTTTTTTTTACATTTTAACATTTTTGTCACAGCAGATCCCTCCCTGCTCAAAGGCCGTAAGTGCCGAGCATAGGCCTAAATTGCCCTTCACCGGCAATGGTGACGTCTCCATATCAGTGAAATATTCTGGAGAGGGATGTTAAACAGTGTACAATCAATTAATCAATCAAAGAAATTGTGAGTTGGAATCAGTAAACTAAATCAGTTTTTTTTTTTTTTTTACATTTTAACATTTTTGTGACAGGAATCATGGAAGTTAGATATTGCTTTTTAAGTTACATCACCCTGATCCAAAAGGATTAGAACAATTAAAGTCTGATTTCTGCATTGTAAATTGTTTTCCAGCATACAAAGTTTTGTAATGCAAGGATTTTAGAAAGCTTCAAAAAAGCATTTTTTTTGCTTGTGACCTAGAAAAAAAACCCTTCATTCAAGGTCATGGGGACTATGTGATGTGCGTACATGTACACATGGAGAGTTCCTATATGTAACTTTCACAAACACCAGTTTAAGCTGGTTATAATGGGCCCAGGATAGAATTTTATATGGGAGTTCAGATTACCCTTGTTTAGCATAGGGTTGTCGGTAGTAATACAGAAGAACCCTGTAATACATGAAAGGGAAATCACTACACGGGCACAAAGTAATTCTGTAACAATTTTGTTAGCTTTATAGCCAGTCAAAACTGAGGAACACAATGTAGAGGCATTGCCAAAACCATACAAGATTATATCATTTTGATACAGTGTATTTTGATTTTATTCATAACATGTTGACTTGGATCATTCACAGAAGTAGATGTATTTCATTCATTACTTTTTTGTCCTGAATTTCTTGAATGTAATGAACTGAACAGCTGTAATATTTTTCAGTTCCATTTTGTAATTTTCATGTTAAAAGTGAATGATATACACATCAGTCCAGTTATATATATCTTTTAAAGTAAATTTTATTGATTTTGTTAACCTGTATGCAAAATGAGAACCTACTTAATCCCTGGCTCCCTATCTGAATATTAAACATATCAAATTTTATGTAATTTATGTAATATAGATTTAGAACATCCTTTTGCAATGTTTTGTTGTTTGTATACTAATATTGTGAAAAACATGTAGATTGTTATCTCGGGATGAGAAATCAATAAAAATTTAAAATTTTCATTGTTTTTAATCATTCATTTTGGTAGCAACTTAGAACAGATAAGATCTAAGGTATAAATATGATTTCCAAAGTATTTTCAAATGTCTTCATAAATATTGGCACCCAAAAATTGTGACTCAATTAAGAATTTCAGTAATACGATTACAAATCAGGTATTATATAGGAAATACTAGCCCCTGGTATCTAGCATAAATGTCTGGCAATGCATGTCAAGTATTGCAAGGAGTCTTATAATCGTAGCAGTATGTGTGGGAATACTAGTATATATTGTTTGTTTGTGTGTGTGTGTGTGGGGGGGGGTTATAACATCCAAAGAAAGACAACTCTGTTACATATATTCTTTACAGATATGAGAGTTATCTTTCATTTGAAATAGGACCCTAAAAGACTTGGCAGTAAATGTAAATGATACGATTCAAATTAGACATAAGTAATTTAAGCTGTCACAAATTTTATAAAATCGTTTTTTTTTTTAATTAAAATTTTTCAAAAAAAAAAATTAATAGCTTCATTATATGTTTATTTCGTTGCATTTGCGCTCTGAATATGCACTGAGGAATGTGAACTCCTGCTTACAGTGTAACCACACCCGCGCCATGTCTGAAATTTACGGTCATTACTTTTTACTCCCTCCGACAATCACATGACCTGCTCCGAGTTTACAAACACCGCGTAGTAATACACCTGAGTAATCTAACACGTCAGCGGAATGCGCGAACAAGTAAGAATTTGCACAAAAGCATTCAAGTGGGTTGATAGGCGACCGCTGAGCTTTGATAACGTTTTAAATGCACGTCCCCAAAATATTGACTGATTTGACAGATCCTTTTAAATTTCAAATTAATGACCCGGTATATAATTTCAGACTTGATTGAATTGAAGTGTTAACGCGTTTGTTCAGGTTTTCTTGCATTCAAAGATATTTTTTTCTCACCTGGAAAAACCTTTACTTGCCAGACTACTTTTCAATGCCTTGGTCTGGCATAAATTTATTTGTTCAATTATACTGACATGCACGACAGTACATGTACGCATCAAAAACATGCATATTTATAAATCGATTACCGTATATGCAATTAGTGCTTTTAATAATCCGACCTAGGTCTTTTTTTTTGGGGGGGGGGGTCATTTCCCCCAATGTGATGTGATATTTCCGAAAATGCGG